CAGGACCTAGGTAAGATGTAACAGGACCACTAATACCTGCTGTTACTAGCTGTGCTTCATCCCTATTCCCATGCATTACCACAGAACCATTCTGGTTGGAAAAGACCTTTAAGATCAAGTCCAACAATTAACCTGCCTCTACAGAGTCCAATGCTAAACCATATTCCTAGGCATACACCAATTATGTTCATTAGCATCTTCTCTTGCTTTCCCTGCTGAGCACATTTGACCCTCCCGACAGCACATCACTGCAGAGTGCCCACCTGGGGAACACACCCACTCACCACCTACCCTACTGGCTGGAAGGTGAGCTGGAAGTTGCCCATGGGCTGTGCCAAGTGTCTCACCTCACCCACTCTCCTGCTTGCCAGCAGCACTCAGGAGGGGAAGCCCAGACCAAGTCATTTCTGTGTCTAGCAGGAAGCACATGCAAATATAAGATCTTGAGAGCACTGCTCAGGAAACCCCCAACCCAGCAGCCTGCCAGGGACCTCAGCCAGCCCTCCAGCCCTCACTTGTGCTGTGGGTGCTGGCAAGACTCAGCACTAAGGGCACACACAGCCTAGCACTGCCAGAGGGGTGCACAGCCACATGCAGCAGCTGGAAAACCCTAGAAACGGAAACTCTCATGTAGAGGCAAAAGCCAAACCCACACCTGGAGAACAGCCTGACCCACACCATGTAAGGATGAAGAACAAACCTGCCTTTCTCCTGGTTTTGGCCACTAGTCTTAAAATCATCAAGCCAACTTGTTCTGTGCTAGTCTAGCAGTGCCATATCCATGGAGAACCTTGGCATAGCTCTCCAGACATGCACAGGTTTGTTCAACTGCACTTAAAAAATTGGGAAATAGCTCTCAAAAACAGGAATCCCTTACCCACCTCAACAGCAGAGCAACTCAGCTCTCAGGTACCAAGGTTCATCTCTTGAAGGCTATCCTCAGCCTGAGCAAGAGCATGACAAAAAGACCTGAGCCAGACCCCAAGTCAGGTCCTCTGGTTAGCCAGGCTGAAGTCCTGACAGCAACGTGATTTATAATTGCAGGTTCTGTCTTTCCCTCCAGAGCTGCTTTCCCTCCTTTAATCTCTTGGTCCCACTTAACATTTTATACCCCTGGTAGGTGTGAATGGGACCCACCTGGCCAGGCACCTTGGCCACGTATCTCAGCTGGCTCTGTACTATATTAAGTACAGAGTAGTATGAAGGCCACATGCAACACAAACCTCAAGGCTAATTTGTTCTTTCAGCCATGAGTGGGTTTGAGCCTGGCTTTTAGCTGTATTCCCAACCTCCCCACAAGCCCTGGATCAGAGCAGATTTGGGGAAGCCGAAGCCCTGGGTGGAGTCTCATTGGCTACACTGTGTTTAGGGGTCTGGCACACACATTGTTAGGAAACAAAGGAAAAGAATAAGAAACGGGTTTTGATGAGGCTTTAGGCACAGGGACTTTCAACTACACTAGACAGTACCACACCATGACCTTTTTTTGTTCCCCACCATGCTGCAACTTGTCTGCATAAGCAGGGAAGTGGGCTTTGGGGGGCTGGATTTAAACACCATTTTCAAATTACTCAGTGCCCTTTCTGTTTCCCTGGAGCCAGACAGAGAAAAAATCCTAGTGGCAACCAGTCAAAATAGATTTGCCTGTGTATGATCTGGATGTCATGTTCTTTTTTCAACGTAATGGCATAACACATCCTTATGGCCCTGCTGGTCTGATACTGGTGGTGACTAATGCAGGGTAGTCCCTAAGCTTGAGTACAGCCAGCACCTTTCCAAGGGCTGATTACAAAAGAAAGGCAAAAGCTTTGAGACAAGGGAATTACCCAAGACGCATTTAATCTGGAGCTGGGTGTCTGTTTGTCACGTGACAACTGGGTATTCTGTATCCCCTGCGTATTGCATCTTGCTGGGGCTATTACAGGCAGCTCACATGCCGGGTCCCTGTGTGGGTTGGCTGTGTACACCCCTGGGCTCTGGGGACCCAGCTGTGGGTGCTGCCGGGAGCCCCACAAGCTGCCTGGGGTTAACACTGCCATGACTTGCGCTTTCTCCATACGCTTCAGAACCTTTGCACCTCGTGGTCCAGTCTCTGCCATTCTGGGGACCCGAAGGGCTTGTCCACATGTCCCCATCGCGGCTCCGCGCAGCACACAATGGCCATTGTTTGCCTTCGGGGCGGGTGAGCAGCCTCTGGCTTGGGAGGAACAAAGCCCAGAGCCAGTTCCTGCAAACACAAAACATGCCTTTTTATCACTTGGTGACAAATTGTTTTGTCAGCAGCAGGAAGTGATGTTACTGCCGTCCTCACCAAGGGGAAACTCCTCGTGGTTTCCATGGGGATGTATGCAACTGCAGAACGACAGGTCTAGATGAGCTGAAAGCCCCTGCATGCTGGGTTTCTAGGGGTCTTGGCTCGGATACGAGGGGCAGGGGCTCAGCCGAGCCCCGCTAGCATGGGGAGGGCAGGGGGCTGGCGTGGGAGCCAGGGGGAACGGGAGCTCCGTGCTGAAAACCATGGTGAACCGTATGCCGTGGTATCCCAAACAAACAAAAACAGCGAAGAAAGGAGAGTAAAGGAGGGGTGAGAAGGGAAAAAGCTGCCCCAGCACAGCCAGAGCAGGCACAGTTCAGCTCAGCTCTGTCGCCGAGACGTTCCCCGGCTCCACCATGCGCAGGGTCCGCCCGTCCCAGCCCTTTATGCCTCCTTGCCCGGCTCACACCTCCCCTGCCCCTCTCCTTGCCGTCCACCCTGCTCCTTCCCCCTCCCTGCTCCTAGGGAGCCCGTCAGCTGAGACCATCCTTCCCCCAGAGCTGTAGCACTGCGGTGACATTTGCAGGTCTCACTTTAATCTCTCTCACTTCTTTTGCTGCTGTTCTTGCCCCCTTATCCAGCCCTTGTTTGGACTGGGTGCGATCCTGCCCACAGAGAGCTTGCAAATCCGGGCTCCGGGCACGAGGAGACTGATTTGGGCTCAGGATCACGACTTGGAAAAGGACATCACAGGTCCTCAGAGCTGGAAGTGCCTGTTAGTGCCTTGCTGGCACCGCAGCCCTGCTGTGGCTGCCTGGCTTTTCTGCACCCAGCTTTGTGCTGAAGCAGCTCTCTTTGTTCCCCTCTGTCAGGTGCCTGCTTAGGTTATAAAAGCTGATCAGCTGCCAGGTAATGAGTTTTATTGTTCCAAGAACCACATAAACAAGCCCCCCCAGCTGACGGGGAGCGGATTTCTGTTTGAATTACGATTAATAGGCAGGATTATTTTTTTTTTTTATCAGTTGTGTGGCCAGGGCTGCCAAGGTTGTATTTTTCCACTGCACAGGCTCTGCTTTGCTTTGAAGGTGAAAGTTTGTCAGCCTGTTTACTGCACGTGTAAGAAGTATTCAGGTATTCAGCAACAGCCTTGCATGCTTTACAGCAACAGTGGTGGGTGCAATCCCACTGAGCAGCACAACCTCCCAAGGGACTTGCCACAGGGTTTTGCAGGATGGGACAGACTTTGGGGAGGAATATGCACTTTGAGATTCACATATGCTTTGGGAAAAGAGGGATTTCTGACTTTGCTAGTGCCCAGTGATCCCTCCTTTTAAGCTGCTCCATTATTTTTTTTAGCCCTCGGTGTCAGGTTGAAGCCTGACGGTGGTTAACATGGAGCGCTGACGGCAGCGCTGCGTTGGAGGGAGAGCTCACATGGAAGAATTTCAGACGCAGCAGTGCATCATCCCATCCTTCAAGGGCACCTTCTCCCGGGAGAAGAGTCCTGGATTTTAGCACCATTTATACTCCGGGTAGTTTGCAGC